TAAAATATTGCTCTGTTTAAAAAGCATTTCAGATTGTTTTGCCTCTACAATCGCATCCTCTAATTTTAAATCAGATTTAAGCTGCAATCTATCGCTTAAATTTTGGTCCAAAATACCATTGACAATCCGATCCCTTATAAAATCATTTTTCATAGCCGTAGAGCTACAATTTGAGCAAACAAATTCACAATGCTCCGACAACACATGCAAATCTGAAAATTTTCTACAGGCTCACCTGGCTGTTGTTTCCTTCTATTGAAACGTGCCCTTTCAAAAACGACATTTTTCTTAGGGAAAAAATAGGTATCAAAACCAGCCAGTGTGGCTGGAAAAGTGTTTGGTGTAGGATCTGGAAATTGTAGTAATATATTCTCACTCTCTGGCCCCATAATATAAATCAGAATATCGATTTTCTCTGCATCAGACCTATTACTTAACCCCGATACTGCTAAGTACCTCTCGAACCTTCTTTTCCAGGTATTCCAACCTCCCGGCTCTCGAAAATGGAACTTATCGGGGGGTTGTACATGCACACCATGGTTTGCCATTGTGAGACCTGCACTGCCACCAGCACTTTCCATACCTAGAACAATGTTACCTGTTTGACCCATACTGGCCCCTATTTGGCCACTTCCAGTCCCTGTTTGACCACCTCTGGTTTGTCCTTCACCACCGGTCCCTGTCTGGCTACCGCCTGCGCCTGTGTGGTTTTCTGCGTTGATCATGGTTTTATTTCTGCCCATTCCACAACTGTACCGTCTTATATCACTTTTGCTCGCAAAAATTTCAACTTCCGACTTTTACCGCTGCCACCATGTTTTAGCGGAGGCTTCAATGAATGGTAACACAGTTGGATGGGATATTTTATGTACTTTATTACAGCTATGCAAAATATAACATAAAGGAACAACGTCCGTGATGACAATTAAAGTTGACAATTTACAATTACCTTTTTTAACCAGTATTACCGGTAAACTGAAACTGACGCTGATACAACAGTCATCATTTGAATAGTGCAATAGAAAACGGCATCGATAGGCGTGGCTAAGTGTCGGAACAATATGGCTACTTGAACAGAGCCGCACTAAATGGATTCTTTATAATTTTTATCTAAAAACGTAAAAAAATCGAGATTACACCAAGAATGAAAAAGTTGCTACAGAAACTTCAAAATACTGATACAGGAGAACCTTCCAAGACCCAAAATAGGAATTCTACGCCTCAAAAATTTTTCGCATTTAAAAAATCTTCGGATGGAAAATGCGGCCCTGATGCAATTTTGACGCGTTGCTATGATAAAAGTGACAGAATCTCAGACAGAGGAATCGTAACAATATGGCGGAAGTGGATACGCTTTTTTCTCCTTATGTCGCCTCCTTATTATTCTATAGTCTGTGCATCCAGAGGTTACCCATAAGCTGTAAAACACAGGGCTGACAATAAATTAGTACAAGACCAAGTGAACGAATTTACATTTAGTTCTATAAAGTCCTTTTTCAAACTAATTTTAAAGTTTTTGAATTACCTACGTCGGAAATCAATGTCTATAGAGTAGTTGCCTATTTAAAATTTACTCCATAAAAAAATATTACTTGACAAAATTATATTTTCAAGTAACTTTGAAAAATGGTACATCAACACCTGAATTAATATAGGCCTGTCAAAGTTTTTGAACAAGATTTATACCGAAATTCCAGTGCTTCCCAAACAAAATAAAATTTTGTGTTGAGTTAGATAATAATTATGTATCACTTGTAAACAATATGTAATAATAATAATAATAAAAGTATAATAATCTATACTCAGCATTAGATGAATATATTGCATTTTAAATAAATACGAAATGTAAATACCTATCTGTAAAAATTATATTTCTTCACAGAATTTCTTGACCACAAAACATTTCGAGAATTTCAGGTAGAACCCGTCTTCTCTTTATATTTCACATGATTTATAGCAATGCCGTGTTTTACGACTTAGGGATAAACCCTCGGTGCATAGACTTTACTCAATGATTTGAGTCAAAGTTAATTTGTTTCATTTTCAATTTATTGATACTGATATAATTACAGGAAATTCAGTTTTTGATTATCTGATTACATTTATAATTTTTACAGTTAAGACATTGTAAGTTACGGGTCTATTTTTCCCGGGTCATTACAATACCATGTGACAGAAGAATCGAAATCCCAATATGCTCTACCGAGGAGTCAGCAGTCACTCATAGATTTACCTTCATTCCACTCAACATTTAGTTTTCAAACCTCCTCGAGGCTTGAATGCGAAAATGGGACACCTAAATTTACCACTACGGTCTATATAAGTGCAAATCCAGGAAGTCGCGAAATGCAAACCAACTGGTACCTGGCTAAAGTGTCTCGTCCATGAAGGTCTCCTTTTTTTTTTTTTTGTTTTTGACGTTTTCAATTTTATCATATACCTATGTACAGGGTGGGCCAATTTGGACACTTTTAATAGGAAACATCAATTTCTGAGCGAGATACAAAAAAATGAACGCCCCACTCTGAGGCTCAAATTTCATGAAATTTTGATTGGTGCAAACCGCATTTTGATATTTTCAACCGTTTAGCCGCTAGAGGGCGATTCTCGATTTTGAGCAATAATGTGAAACCGTCATAACTTTTTTGTTTATGAAAATAATTGATTTTCGTAAAAACTTTCTAGAAGCACTTTTTCAAGAAGAATTCAGTGACGTTCTCAGTTTTTTTCTAATTGACTCGGATTTCGAGATATTGACCAACATCCGATTTTTTTTCAATAGAACATCCTATATTAATAGCTTATTGGAAAGCTCTGCTTTTGCTGATTTCAATGATATAATGTTCGATAGGTTTATCTCTAACAGTTTGCGAGAAAAAAAATTATTTCGGTTTTTGTCATAAGAAGCAATGTGTAAGAAAAGGACTTTATATCTGTAAGGAAACTGAGAAAGGTCCCTTTCCAACACATTGTTTCTTATGACAAAAACCGGAAAAAAAAAATTCTCGAAAACTGTTAGAGAGAAACCTATCGAACTTTATATCATTAAAATTAGAAAAGGCAGAGGTTTCTAATGAGCTAATAATATATGGGGTGTCCTATTGAAAAAAATCAGACTTTGGTCAATATCTTGAAGTTGGGACCAACTAGAAAAAAACTGGGAACGTCACTGAATTCTGCTTGCAAAAATGCTTCCAGAAAGTTTTTACAGAAATCAATTTTTTCCATAAACAAAAAAGTTATGAAGGTTTCAGATTATTGCTCAAAATCGAGAAGCGCCCTCTAGCGGCTAAACGGTTGAAGATATCAAAATGCGGTTTGCACCAATCAAAATTTCATGAAATTTGAGCCTTAGAGTGAGGGGTTCATTTTTTCGTATCTCGCTCAGAAATTGACGTTTCCTATTAAAAGTGTCCAAATGTACAGGGTGACAATTTGAAAACGAGCAATTGGGAATATCTCTTAGACAAAAAATGAAGTCTAGGAAGATCTCAAATACGTATCGGGGGATTGGAGGGGGAACCAAAGTGACACACTTTTTGAGTCACCCCGCCTCACCCCTTAGGGGGTGGCTACCCCAACTTATTTTTTTTTAAATACGTAGGTACCCAGCTTTTGTTGCATATCGTTGGATAGCTCCGTTGCTATCCCTTTACATTCCTATAGAAAAATCTCAAATCGTACGATTAGTTTTTGAGATATCGATGTTTAAAAGTAAGCACATTGTGAAAACTAATAATTTTGACTATCTCAAAGACAAAAAAAAATCTGTCATAAAATTCTCGAATACACATCGGCGAAACCTTTCAAAGGAGCTATCACACGGGGTAGGTTCTCATTTTAGAAAAATTATTAGGAGCGGCTAGCCCCCAAAACAAGATGGTTAGGGGTTAGGCAATAAACAAAATTGGTTCCCCGATGTGTATTTGAGACTTTTATGACACAATTCTTTTGTCCAATAGAAAGTCAAAATTACTAGTTTTCAAAATATGCTCACTTTCAAATACCGATTTCCCAAAAACCAATTGTCAGATTTGAGATTTTGCTATATGACTGTGAAGGGATTGCAACGAGCTATCGAACGATGTGCATCACGAGGTAGGTTCGTATTAAAACATTTTTGACAAAGACGGCTCGTGGTTCTGTCAAAAATTTCATGAGCAAAATAGCAAAATTACCAAAAAGCAACAAACTTGAATAAAACCAAGAGAATAATAAATTTTCATTTGGAAATAGTTATTTGAACAACAAATTTTGAAAACGACTTTTTTCGCACAGCGAGACAGTTTGTTGGATTGAGCTGTAGGCGAGTTCCACAAGTCGAGCGAGTGTGAAAAAAGGTTTTCAAACGAGTTTTTTACACTGCTTTTCCTACAACTGCAAAATAAAACAACCAAAAATGTAACTTTTATTTGTTAGAAAACAAATCATCAACATCAGAAATTGGTATGACGATCGCAATTTATGTTGTCATGTCAGGATGACAGGACCAAAATAAATACCAAACATAATAAGCAGCGTATGAAAAACTTTTTCGGACGCTGAGGAGCGTATGAAAAACTTTTTCGCACGCTGTGCGAAAAACTCTATTTTCAGAGGTTGCCTAGCATGCGAAAAACTCCATTTTCAGAGGCAGTTGTAGGAAAATTCATTTTCTTTAGATGACGCTTGTCAAACTCAATAGTTTTTTACTCTAACCAGTCACACAAAATTTTGTCGCTGAAAAACCATCATGTTGGTTTTGTCCAGAGGTAGGAGTTTTGTCAGTAGGAAACCAGCCGTTCCTGGTTACACCAGACTAAATTATTGTCTCGAAAGACTATTTCTCCCCAGAATTTCTTTACCAATAAATTGAATATTTTTTTTCCTGGCAGCTTCTCTATCCAAAGGATACAGGCAATACCTGGAGTAACAAGTAACTGTTTTGTTTAAATCCTAATCTCTGAGTGGCCTCAAAATGAGTCTCCACAATTGGAATACTTTTTTAGGAAAAAAAAAACTTATAATAAAAATGGCAAATTTTATTTCCATAATTTACAATGAGCATTATATCATTAAGTTATTGTAGGTATATTTATAAATAAAGACAGAATAAAAATTAGGAAAAATGAGACCAATAATTAATTTCAGTTAAGCAACACCTGAAAAAAATTTTAGTAAATAGTTAACTCATTTTGGTCAAATGTCTTTGGTGCTTGAGTTCCAGTATTGGGTATATTGTAAGGGATAATTTTCTTCAAAATAATCAAAATTTCTGATAAGTTGCCAACTTCGGAATGTAAAGATATTAAGTATCAAGTATCACATATTGAAAGCTTTTGAAGCTCAAAAGAAAATCAGTAAAACTAAAAACTAGCAAGGAAAATGCATTTATAAACTAAATTAAATCTAATAAACAAATGAAGGCTACATAATGATTTTCAATTAATACTTATAATAATGCACACAATAATATTTAAATGAAAGGCAATAGAAAAATTAACGCTTGCATGCTACAGAAATTCAGTCAAACTGGAGTATAACAACCACCGAATATAACTACTAACCCTGTTATAAGGAAAGAAAGTGTGAATTCAGGCAGAATCATCTTGACCCAATTTTTGTATCCAAATTTCAAAAAGTATCAAACAGTCACAATTGACTTTAAATAACTATCACTGAGGAAGTATGCTGAAATAAATAAACCTTGAAACTAGCACAAATAGGTATGTTTTAACTTAAAAAGACAAACTTCAATACTCATACTTCAGCTATATTGAACAGTTTGGTTAGCTTTAACTCAAGCCTTAAATTTTACATCCAGGTTTGACTGTTTCAGAAAGAAAAATAACTTAAATCACTACATTAAATAGGTACATAACTATTCTTGGTGGACACTTTAGAAAAATTCCAGAGTTTTTTGAACCAGTTATTTTTATAGTTACTACATCACAACTTAATTTTGGGTTATAGCTGCCTAAGTAATATCACTCAAAAAAAACTTAAGCCTGAGAAATTCATCTAAATACTAGTTTTCAAAATTCACAAAATGTAAACCTACTTTTAACCATTATTCAGACCCAAAGAGCAACCCTGTATTTCAATAGATTAACCATCTTCATCGTTTCAAGTAGATTTATAAGCATTATAGAATTTTGAAACAAACTGAAACTTGAAAAATAACAAAATTATAGTGTTGTGTTACTACAAAAAAAAACCCAACACAACTTTACTCCTCATATTACTCAGAGGGTGAGAGATCCTTTTCTGATTCTCCTTCATGTAAAAGTTGTAAAAGTAATTCATGAACAGGCTCAAAAGCCTTTTTACTGCCAGCATTTGTCAGTAAAAGGTAATCGTGCATGTCATGATGGCTGATTGTACCATCAGGCTGTACAAATCCTTTATCAATCGACACCAACTCCAATTTTGAAAAATTTTCTAGAGATATTTTAAGAAGCTGGTTTACTTTTTCAAATTTATCTCTGAGAGTGTTGGGATGTTGACCTCTAGGCAGCAAAGTAGGTATCACAATATAGACATCGGGATGTCTTTCTCTAATAGCATAAATGATTTCAATAATGCCATCTCTAATATCTTCAGGATTGTTGTTGTAATTGTTAGTACCAACATGGAGCACAATAATCCTTGGTTTTATGTTATCTAATTCCCCATTGAGAACTCTCCAAAGAACATTTTCCACTCTGTCTCTGTGTATACCAAAATTCAGACAATGTAAAGGTACAAAAAGCTCATTCCATACATCTGTGTGCTGTAAAGCTTGAATTATGGAGTCGCCAATAAAAATTACGTCTGCATCTTTTTCTCGGGTTTCTGCTAGGAATCGATGGTGCTATAAAAAAAACAATACTGTCTTGAAGTACTGGTCAGCCAAATTTTCTTAAATGAATACCTAGACATTATTTAAAACATTTCTTAGACATTAATTACTTACAATGCTCAACCATCTATTGTCGCCATCGCCATCATCAACAGGCACAGGAACTTTACACAAATTCATTTTTAATTATTTGTTTATTTTATAATTATAGAAAATGTTTTAAAAAAATAAAAAAATTGAAAAACACAACCCTACTTTGCTGAAAGCAAGTTGACGTTGACATTTTCTCATTTTGACATCATCTTCATCATGGGGTGCGTTCACTATAAGGTGGATTCGGCTTGCACACTCCGAGTGACTCCATTCGCACTCCAGCCGTTCGGGTTAAGGTTCGGGTATTGCTTTTTACCTTAGAGGTAAAGGTAAAGGAGTAGTAACCTGGATTTGGAAAATGAAGCCGTTTTTTTCCAGTTATTTTGGCCCACAAAAAATGGCCGTTATGGCAATTCAATGCTCTACCTGTATGTTGGTGCCAAACACCTGCCAAAAACTTTAGCTTCACTTTAGTTTCATAAGCAGAATGGCGCGTTCCTACTCCTTATGTCCGTAGGACAGCGCTTTACCTGCTCCTTTTTACCGTATCAGGGGTGACTCCATTAGCTCTGTTCACTCCACTCGAACTCCGCGCTGAATAGCCGAACCCAGCTTTGGACGTCGAACTAAGGTTCACAAGTGCTGTGACGTCACCTGCATTCCTGACTTTTAAGATGGTCGCCGATACAGATGATAGTTGAGTTTGCTGACAATAGACTCCTTCAGTAAAATTTCATTAACCATATTTTTTCATATTTTAATGGAGTATTACTCACATATAGCACACAAAAAAAAATCTGCTCAATTGGATTAATATTAAAAAAGTTATGCGTCTTTGAAAATTAAAACATTATGCCTCAGAAATTCATCGCTGAGAGATGGTATGACGTCATCCCTCGAGTCGAGACAGGCTAAAGGCCGTCACACACGGTTTTGCATAACGCAATGTTGTGAAAGCTGAGCTCGCAGATTACGCTTGCCCAACTCGGCTTGGTTGAGCAGCGGGACGATTGTATCGTTTTCTGTCAAAGAGCAGCCTCACTCTTTGCGGTGGCCAAGAAGGCTTGGGCACAGGAAACGATTTGAGTAAAACACCTTTTGATGCTAGATGAATACTGATTTATTTCGACTCTTACATCCCTTTTTATATTGAATTTTGATAAACTAATCGTGACAAAAACTGCAAAAACATAAAACATTGTGACCGTAATTATTTAAATGCATGCTGGAATGCAACTTACAATGTTTTGGATATTTTTATATTACCCAAACATTGTGACTAACTAAAATCTCATATAGCAAGCTGACCGTGATATTGAATAAAATATAAATATACGAAGTCGGTCAAATTACGCCGGCGAAGGTTAATCACTGTTTAATTGTTCTAATTAAACATTCTGCCGCCTCTCCAGACTGGAAGAATGCAGAGACATTAGCTCTATCTCTTCTTTTTGGTCTTGGTGTTGGTCTCTTGTCTGCTTTTGACGCCTTCTGTTGATAAGTTTTGTTGTTTGCCATCCTGCAATCACTAGTATAATGATGACTATGGTGGTGATGCTGCTAGTGGCTGTGATGAATACTGCGCCATACTTTGTTATGAAGTCGATCACCGAGGTCCTCTTCTTCTCTTACTAAGTCTCCAAAACTATCGGATTCTCTAAACACAGGCTCGGTGGCTATATCTGACGGTGGATGTTTGTGGAGAGTACCATTGAAGATTATGGGTACAGCTTTTACATAGCTGCCTAGCACTGGAACGATTGCGCTTCTTATGGGAGTTAGAATGTTCTGTTTTGTCTACCTCTTCCCGCTCGCCGTTGCATATCACCGCTATTGTTGTAGACGATCCTGCGATGAACATCCATGTATTCGTTGTACATAGTCGTTTCCAGAGGATGCCTTTTAGCCTGTGTTGTTGTATATGGCAATGTCTGGGTTGCGGTCGTTCATAAATTTCGTCGATGACGCAGGACGGATTAGATTCAATGTTTCTAACAGAAACTGGAGAACAGATGAGCTGGTGTGGGTAGGGCTGCATGCACTGTTGGAGGTCGCTTTCATGGAGCTGAAAGTATTTTTGACTGTTGTAGTCGACGGCGGTGTAATCATCGTGAAGGTCCAACGCCCAGTATGTTTCATTCTCAATTCTGAGTGGAATCGGTGTTGCCTTCAATAGGGTGAATTCTGTCACGTCAACTATTGGAAAATATCCACACACCTTGAGGTGCGTGTTGTTGGTGATTAATCTTGTGGACACTGCTGCCGAAAGAATCTTTAGATTGTTTGGGAGCTTCCGATTGGATTTTTGAATGATGGCGTTGATATATGCTGGTGAAACTTGGTCATATATCGTACCGTACCCCTGTTGAAGTTGATGTTCAGCAATTTATCATAGTGCTCATTGGTTTCGCTGATGAAGTTGGTAGCTACTTGGTATGCACTCAATAGGTGAATGTTAAGGGCATCAGTGTCTATTTGCTTGTACCAACTCTGCATGCTGTTGATAGCTTCTATTCCTTCGTTGAGTCGTTTCTGGAAATGTTGTAGTTTGTTCGTGATTCTGGCTTCTGTTTCGTTGAATTTTGTGAGGGCCGAGATCATGAACTTTGTTTGGTAGTTCGATGCTCTGATGAGTTCTTCCTGATTGTTGTTCATTGCCTCGATATCTTGATATACTTCGTCATTCACTCCAAAAACCGCAGTCAAAAATTTTCCAAATAGTCCTCTCTTAGTTCTGTGGTGAATGTCGGCCATGGTAGCAAATATCCATTTGGAGTGATTTTCCATTTCTTCTAAGTGTTGTACGAGAGATGTGCATTTGACTTCATCGGTGAGCTTCTTGGATTCGTTGCACATATTTTTGAATTGGTTGACGACTGTGGATACCTCTGATAATTCCGTTTCAGTTTTGTTCTTAGGATACGTTGTCTCTATCCTGAAAATCCCTCTATCAATTTTTGCTGATCCAAGGTGTTCAACGTAAAAACCATGTTGTAGATAGTTGATTTTAAACCCTGTTTCTGCAGCGGCGGTTGTAATCATCATAATTATGGCTGCTAGGAAAAACAATAGATATGATTTTGCTGATGTTGATGCTACGTTCCGTAGTCGGTCTGCTCTCCGTACCTCTGATGAGTGGTTTTGGGTGGTTGGTAAATTGTGTATGTCTTCTGTCGGTAATGGGATTAACTTGTGGATCGGTCTTTTTTGTGGTGAGCCACCTGCTTTCTTTATTGTTACCACTCGGATTGCTCCATCTTGACCCTGGTGAGTTTCTATAATTCTCCCCAAAGGCCATTGGTTTGGGTTTATATTTTCTTCTTTGATTAGGACCATTGTTCCTACTCGTATATTGTTGGTCTGATTCTTCCATTTGTATCTTTGCTGCAGTCTGGTGAGGTATTCTGTGCACCATGCGCTCCAAATATTTTTCTTTAACTTTTGCACGTGTCTCCATCGTTGAGATAGGTTAAAATGTTCTGTCGATTCCAAGTTTGGTGGAGCTAGAAGTTCTCTTCCTATGAGAAAGTGTCCTGGGGTCAAGATGTTGAAATCATCTGTGTCTTCTGTTAGCGGGTAGAGTGGTCTTGAGTTCAAACATGCTTCGATTTGATACACCAACGTTGTTAATTCTTCATAGGTCAAAGTGCATTCTCCAATAACTCTCTTGAGATGGTGCTTCATAGATTTTACACCTGCCTCCCATAGTCCTCCGAAATGAGGGGCTGCAGGTGGAATGAAGTGCCATTGTGTTCCTAAGTTGACGATTGTATTTTGCACAGATTGTGATTGTAACAATTTTGTGATTTCATCTTCGAATAGGCGTGCTGCTCCAAAAAATGTAGTTCCGTTATCACTGTACATATTTGCACAATGTCCCCTTCTGGCTGTGAAACGTCGAAGTGCTGCTAAGAATGCCTCTGTTGTCATGTCACTGACTACTTCTAGGTGAATGGCTTTGGTTGCTAGGCATACGAATACTGCGATATACCCTTTGTAAAGTCCATTCCAAAATATTTCGTTGACTTCACGGCTATAAAACCCTACCATAAATTAGATAGCTATTAGCCTCTATTGTGTAGGTACCAGGTTCTTTTATGTAGGTACCGGGTTCCTTAATACCCACTCAAAGGTTTACAGGTACGGATTTTGTGCCCATTATAATGAAAACGAAAAAGGCGTTTCATAATATTATTTATTTATGTTATAATCTTATACTATCTTAATAATAACCAAAACTTAATATCTAATACAATATAATACAATACACAATTCAACCAAACCTAATCTATATTTAGTTCCGTTTCACTGTCACTGTCATCTTCATCTATGCCTAAACTAATTATTAATGGCTTAACATTAATACCTATTGAATTATAGGTTTTTTCAACTTTTATAACGTGATTGACAGAATTTTTCCAGCTTTGAACTGGAATATTATCTACACATTTTCTAATTAAATCTATTACAGCAGTACTAAGTGTAGGAGAGGTGTTTCCTCTCCTAACCATTGCCTTCAATTCATGCCAGATATGTTCTATTGGATTGAAAATACAATAATATGGAGGAAGACGCAAAACTGTATGACCACAAGCGCTAGCAAGATCGTCACAAATATATTCTTTTTTAACATTATATGATTTCAAAACGTTTAAAAGATCTTTCTTTGTATAATTTTCTTCGAAATACATATCATTTTCCATCATATATTTTTGAAGTTCTACTTTTGTATTACTTGCATTGGGCACTTTATTTTTTTGACGGCTGTGGTAACTAGCGTTGTCCATCACAATTATACTGTTTTCTGGTATGTTCGGAAGAAGGCGATTCTGAAACCATTCTTCAAATAATTTTGCATCGGTATCTTGATGATAATCTAATGATGAATTGGCTATTTTTTTTGCGGATAGCAGCAAAGAGTTTGGAACAAAACCATTTTCTGATCCGGCATGCAAAATTGTAATCCTCTGGCCTTTATTTGAGGGTGCTTTGGTTTGACATTTGGAGGTTGAGTCGCTCCATCCTCTTTTGGGAGTGTCATGGGTATCAAACCATGTTTCGTCAAGATATATTATCGGACGATTTTCTGCCCTATATTGTTTTATGGAACTTAAATATTCTCGACGCCATGCTTGTAATCGCTGGGATTCCATTAGCACTTGCCTCTTATTAATGGTTTGAT